TCTGCCTGTTCTGCTCCCCACTCTGTCTCTAGTGAAGCCTCTCGCCACCCCTGAGCCTCTGGCCTGTACCCCAGTTCTGAATGCACAAATAAATAAATTTAAAAAAAAATACAACATTGTTGAAAGGGGCAACATAACTTACAGGAGCCTGAGTGAGTGGAATGGGCAAGCAGAACTCTTGCCAGTGGAATGACGCTCCCGATCAGCAGCAGAGCGGAGCAGTACAGGCAGGGCAGGGTGTTAATTCTGGACCCAGAAGAGGGTGAGCGGCAGTGTGGGGGTGATGGGCCGCCCCTGTTCCTGCAGCAGGCCTAGAAGAGCCATGAGCATCTCCCGCACGGACGCTGGCCAATACCTACTCATCATGCTGATGAGTCCAATGTGAATGTGATGTTCAGTATAAATCATGCACACCAAGATTTCAGTGGCAGAAAACCCACAATGAAATACTGCAGTAGTTTTTATACTAAATGAAACATGAACATTTTCATCTGGCTCTTTTTACCTTTGTTAGTGTGCCCATTGAAAATTCCGAATCACCTACGGAATAGCATGTCATTTCTTAGCATCTGTGCTCTGGCAGGCACAGCTTAGGCCCAGTGCCCCTGCCCTTGCCAAAGATCTCGGGGTGTCTAAGGAGGGACAGAAGTGAGTGCTGGTATTGAGGGGCACAGCGGTAACCCACGTGGAGGGAAAGGTGGTGAGCACAGAGGTCGCCCAGGTTTTGCTGGGTTCTGGCAACTCAGGGGCCTCCCACCACCGGGGGAAGGCTGGGGGAATGGGCTAAGGACTGCACCCCAACATGACTTCCTCTTGACCCCATGCTCCTGGTCCAATTCATTCGGCTTTATAAAAATAAATAATTCTAAGGCAGAAAGGAAGGAGAAAGAGACAGAGGAAAAGGAAGGAGGAAGGTAAAAAAGAAAATCCCTTCTGAAAACTGGCAGATGGGTGAAAACTAAACATCAGTGCAGTCTCTGGGTTTTGTAAGAAATTTCAGTTCCTCTAGTGCTGTGGGCCCAAGGCCTGGCCTGCGAGGGGAAGTGCTGCAGGTTCCACCCTGCTAACTGGTGGGAAGCAGGGGGGGTGTCCTGACTTAGGGGTGCAGGGTTGGGAGCCGGGGAGGCAGCTGGGAGCACTTCTCTGCTCTTGGGGGTTCCCAGGGGGCAGCTAGATGCTAGAGCAGCAGGGAGCTGACCCTGCGTGCCGACAGCCCAGTATTTACAGGCAAGATGTCCCCTAGGAAAGGATGTCTAGAAATGAGGCCCAGAAGCTGGCACCAGTGCGGAACATCTAAGGAGCACCCAACGAGGGCTCTATTCACTGCTCTAGAATTCTCTTTGTAGAACGTGGCATTTCACGGCACATGTGTGTTTAGGGATTTTGCAAATGAAGTCCACTCTCCGGGTAGCCAACATGGTCTAAGATGAGACTCCAAAGTACAGAGACACTGTCTCTCTTTCGTGCTGAAAATCCACGCTTGCTCTCAATCAGAATTACCTGCATAGCACGCCATGCCACAGAGTGTTAGCACCCATCAGTCACTCTTTGGGAAACCGCTGAACTTGTCGGCCTTTTCTCTGAATTCTCTAAACCCACCCCATGAGCTCTGACTTTCACCTGCGGTTCTAAGTGCCATCAGGTGCTGGAGTATAATGCACAGTGTGAGCAGCATTTCTGCCACTGGGTCTGCAGCACGCTGGACAATGGCGGCACACAGATTAGCCTCTGGAGGGAGATGCTGCCTGAGCATCTTTGAACTGCAGTGTCATTTGGAAAGAACCGCTACAAGGAGCTGTCAGAGGCTGGACAAAGTCACCATGGACGTGACAGTGTTCCCATCTGCCAGCCTGGGGGTAAGAAGTTTGTTTTGTGTTTTTTTTTATATCTATTTTAAGATTTATTTATTTACGCATACAGAACTGGGTACAGGCCATAGGTGCAGGGGCGGTGAGAGGATTCACCAGAGACAGAGTGGGGAGCAGAACAGGCTGACTGAGGAAGTACACTGCTGAGGGGAGCAGCGGGCGGGTCAGGAGAGGTCTGCCGTGCCATGTGGGTCACCTCTGGGGCAGGCGGGGCTTGAACTCATGCTGCAGTGGCTTTAGCTTCTCAGTGCTGTGGCTAACCTGTTGCGCCACCAGGGAGGGCCCTATCTTTTGTTTTTTATAGGGTGGATTAAGACATATTAGGGAAACATTGGGAAAGACGGAAAATGCGAATGAAGTCTCCAGCAGAGCCTGGCGGTGTTTTCGTCATGCTCCCCCTCCATGGCCTGGACACTTCTTGGTCAGAGTGGCCAGCACTGCTTCTGGCTTTACTCAAGGCAGAGCCAAGTTCCCAAAAGCCCTGGCCTGCCTTAGAGAGGGGAGAGGGCCCTGCGCTCCCCTCACATCCATTCAGAGTGTGAAACTCTTTATCAACATGGAAATGCAAATTCGAACCCAATGAGATTCTCCTTTCTCTCACCAGTCTGGCAAAATCAAACGTTCTGTCAGTATCAAATATTGACAAGAATGTGGCAGAACTGGAAAAGTGCATGAAATTGGTTCCACCTATCTTACCACTTGGCATTATCTAGTATAATTGAAAAAACAGAACAAAATAAAGCTTGCATTAAATATGTATTAACTAAAACAGAAAATGTCAGTATAAGAGGCCTCCCTGATGGCCCAGGGGGTTAAGTCTCAGTGTTCAAGCTATTCCCAGCCACAGTGCCCTGAGTTTGATCCCTGGCCAGGGTGTTGACCCACAGGGTGCAGCAGACCTCGCCTGTCTCCCGGCTGCTCCACGCAGCGGTATATTTCAGTAAATCCACCTGTTCTGCTCCTTAACTCTGTCTCTGGTGACTCCTCTCCCTCCCTGCACCTCTGGCCTATACCCCAGTTCTTGTATGCGTAAACAAAAAATAAATCTTTGAAAAAATAATAAATCACTATCCAACACAAATATTTACTTGCCATTAAATCTTTAAAAAGAAAATGTATGTATCAAGCAGTTACTTATACAGACATCAAAATATTTTTTGCTTTTCTTTTTTTTTCTTAAAAGTATGATCTCTACAGTAACACTATTGTAAACTGCCTAGGCCTTACACCCAAGCATACATACCTGAGGGCGGGGAGTGTGAGCGTGTGTGAGCACGTGTGTGTGCGTGACACAGTGGAAGTGTGCACGTCAGAGGTACGCCTATTCAGATTACAGTATGTGAGTCCTCAGTAAACAGGGATGATATCTTCATTATTCTACGCCCCACCCCATTCCGAGGAGGCTGCTTTTCATTGGAAACATCACCAAAGTAGAAATTATTAGAGAAACCACAGTGAAACCCTACCCATTTACACAGCACTTTTAAAGTGTCAAAGTATTTCTTAGGCTTTCTTTTTTGGTTAGGCGAATTGGCTAGAATAATTACCACTCTTTATTTCATGTCTACAGCAAATTTACTTCCCTTTCCAAAGCAAGGAGACGAGCATTGCCTAGACAGGACCACCTGCTTGCTTGACTCATTCTCTAACCCCACCCAGCCCATCCTGTGGGCCAGCCAGGCGGCCTGGGGCTGTCACCCCCTGCCGCACAGAGACAGTGTCACTTCAGAGGTCTGTGGCTGCATCCCCCCGATAACTCAGCTGTCCGGCTTGGGGGCCTGGGGCTGGGCTCCTCCTCTGGGCTTTATTTCCTCATCTACAGAGACAGGCGTAAGAAATCACCTTCAGGAGCTGAGACAAGGACACTGCCAGTTGGTGCGATGTCACGGCTGAGCCCTGAAGCTCAACATCCACCAACACTAACTTGAGGGAGCTAAGACAGCAAACAGAGCAATGAAGACAGACCCCAGAGCACAACCCAGCTTTGAAGTCGGACCTCAGCCATTCAAAATTCCAAATGGCCCACATCTGTTTTCACCAAAGGGCACGTGAAAAGGCCACGAGGGTATAAATCCTACGACCCCATCAGGAGGGAGTGACAGAAACACCCCATGATAAAAAAAGGCAGGGACCCTGGAAGTGACCTGGTGAGCAATGACGAGAAACTCAAGCCGGAGCTAGTGAAGGACTGCTTTGCCAGGTGTGGCAGACCCCAACTACAGACCAGGAGACGGTTCATTCTAGCATAAACTCGCAAGCAATTAAATAAAGCGCTGGCTGTGCTGGCCAAATTCATCCCTCAAGTCCTCTATCTCCTTGGGGCTTCCCCTCAAGTCCAGAATTTTTGACATCTTCAGGGGCCTGCTACAAGGCCCGACTGAAAGAAGTACATCAGAAGAAGCATTAATGAAGACAAGGTCAAAGGCACCCCAAACCCTAGTGCTTACCATCGGCAGCGCTGAAGTACTCCGGGTTCACAGAGGCATACAGCACCCCATTCCCCAGCCTGCTGTTATTTCTGTGGAAGAGAAGATTTGGGTTCAGGAAAGCAGTCTTCACACACTTCCTTGTCTACTCTCATCTTTGTTCTGTTTTATTTAGTCGGTTTCACCAAGTATCGGGAGAGAGGGTGAGAGCTCACCCCACCTTGACGGCTCCCACCCCTCAGGCCTGGGGGGCCAGCACACCCCTGCAGACACAGGCTCACCTTCTTTGGAGGTCTCAGGTGTGTGCTTTTAAAGCAACACGTGCTTCTTCACTTCGTGGTCAAGGGAAGAGTGATTTGACCATGTTTATCCATCCGCTTAGCTAACTGCATTAGCAGCAATATGTGTGATGGGGTGAGCAGAGCAGGGGCGAGTGACACCGCCTCCCATTTTATTTTTTTGTCACTGTCAAATCATTAGAAAATGCCTTCTTTCCCCATCTGCATAATATTTCTGAAAAATCCTCAGAAAGATCGCCTCTACTCAGGTTCAAAGTGCCTGGCCTTTTCGGGGGGTGGGGTGGGGGGTGGGTCACTCACCGTTTCCTGTGGAAGACGTACAACATTATCACCAGCCCGCCCACGATCAGCAGGACAGCTACAGGCAGGGCGATGATCAGGTGGATGAAATTTTCATAGGTTGCTGTGGGAACAGAGGGTAGCAATACAGTGTCACGAGGTGAACAACCCTCTCTTCACTTGTTGATGGTCAGGGGGAGGTCTGAAAAAATGACCCCTGGAAATCCCTTTGCTGTTCCATCCCAGGCTAAGAATCCCCAAAAGCAAACTGTATCAGAAATAACAGCAAAAAGACCCCACCCTGAGTTATGTGAAATAAGGTTAAATCAGCACGGGTGGAGGGCATACACCTTTTTTTTTGGAAGCAGAGTGTATTCTGCATTGACAGCTCAAATGATAGACTGAAATAAAATAATCTTTATAGGAGCTTAATGGCTGTTCATGGAAACAAATTCAATTGCTAAGTAAAATAAATCAAGATTCTGAAATACAGTCATGTGTTGCTTTACAGGAGAGAAACGCAGCCTTAGGTGACATCACTGCTGTATGAATGTCAGGATGTGACGTTGTGGTGAGCATGACCCTCGTGGTGAGCTCACTGCACACCCGGGCTGTGTGGCATGGCCTCGGGACCACAGTCCCACATGCAGTTGGTCGTGACCAAAACGCCTCTACGTGAGGAGTGACCGCACGGAGCTCAAGTGATAGTGACCTTCGCCTATCCAAAGACAATCTCATAGGTACTTAAGTGAAACAACAGGATGGTACCCCCTGCCGCGGCTGGTCTGGATTCTCTCCAGACATCAAAATCTGGTTACCATTAGCGCCTCGCTCGGCTCACCCACACCCAGCACCTAAGGCAGATGCCAGCCTGACCCTGGCGGGTGGGTCCCCACCCTGGGAGAGTCTGGGGAGGCATGAAACAGCATGTCTGGGGGTCTCGTGACAACCAGAATCGGACTGTGTGTATGGCTGCGACCAGGCAGGAAGGAGAGGGGTGTCCAGGCTCTGCAGACGCAGGGGCGCTGGGGAATGATACAGGAGAAGTCATTGCTGGGCGCCCTCGGCAGACTCAGTTGCCAGGGAGGCGTGCAAGCCCCAGGCAGAGGCACGGGAGTCCCCGGTACCCGAGATCTGGCGGTGCCCAAGGATGGCCTGCAGGGCTGGGGGCAGGGAGGCAGCTGTCTCGGCATCCTTGTGCTGGGGGGTGATGGAGGGCACCAGAACATCTTCTGTCGCTCAGGCCCCAAGGAGAAATCAAGGTTCCTCTTCCAGAAACGAGGAGGACTCAGACATGGGCTGTCCCCCCAGGCCCATGCAGGCCCTGGCTCTGAGATGGGAACAGTTTCCTGTACCCCCTGCTGAACCTCTCCCCAGAAATAAGCTCCTGGCGGCAGGGGTGGGGGCAGCGAGGGGCAATTCCAGAGGCATTTGAGGCTGAAGCAATGAGACACGGGTCTGAGTGAGAAATGGTGGCTGGAGAGGACGGGAGATGGGGGGGGGCCCTGGGGTCATGGCCTAGGTGACCTGGGTTCTGGGGCCACTGACTGAGCACAGGAACAAAGGAAAAGGAGGCCTGAGGAATCGCAGGTGCTCAGGGACCCCAAATGAAGATGTGGATATGAAAATGGGCTCAGAACTCACTGGGGACCAAGGTACACCTACTATAAATCACCCACAGAGGATGATTTCCCCACGACTAACTTGAAAAATCAATATGACTTTTAGTTTAACTTTAATTAATTTACTGTCACTCAGTATTTAAGTCATGTTCTGACTACCCTTAGGGACCAGGAAGGCTAGCTCCATTTCATAAGATAGCTCTCAAAAACAGACCCAAGAGCCTGCCTTTGCTAATTCTTGGAGCTCCTGGCAAGCTGGCCTGGCCCCTGGGAAACCAGGAGAGTTTTCTTTTCTCTCTAAGGCTTATTTCATGTGTTTGCATCACTTGTGTTTCTGGTCAGGCTGTACTGGGTTCTATTCAAGTTTCACATTTCAACAGGGACATGGAGAAACTGGAAAACATCCAGAGAAGAAGAACAAAATGATTAAATGCTAAGAGAATTGGTCTCTGAGCCTGAGCTACAATAAAAGGCCAAAGACTTGAGATTATTTAGTCTGGAGAAGAAAAGTCTGAGGAGTAATTTAATAGTATTCAAGCCCATGAAGGCTTCCTCTGGGAGCACCATCGCCAGCTTCCCTCTCTTCGGAGGATTAAACAAGAGAAACTGAGAGTAAACTGCATTGGGCGGGCCTTGTCAGATGTCAAGGAAACCTTGCCCATAGCAAAGCAGGCGACGGACCTCACGGCACTGCCAGCCCCGGCAGCAGGGCTTCTACCACGGTGCTTGGGGGGTTAACCATGGGAAGGCGCAGACCACACCTGCTCTCAAGGTGAGCCGTGTGTGCTGACCCTCAGGAGCCAAGGCGACTGTTGCCAAGACCACAGCCGGACCCCTAAACCCAGGCTCTGTGCCTGAGCGGAGGAGCAGGGCACGCTCTGGAGGGACTCAAGGACCACAGTGAGCCAACGATAAAGAGAGGGCGAGCTGGCCACGAGGTCGCCTTGTAATGCTGACGAGCAAAACACAAGAGTCATGGCCAAGGCTGACCCAAATGACTTACCGAGGGCCTCGGCTGCTGCGTGATATTTTGCTTAAAGCCAGTTTCCCAGAGCGATGGCTGACATCAAGGGAGGGCTCACTGTTTTTTGGTGGATGGCGTTACCTGCCCCAGCAGGTGTCTACCGCTAAAACCTGAAGTCTGCGTTTCAGAATCTCGAGCCCTATTACTTACCAATGCACCTGTTTCCATGGACAGTCACTGACCCAGGCAGAGGGCCAGACTCAGAAAAGGCTGCGCTGTTCTGCCCCCATCCTTCCTCTGACATCTTCATGGCACTACTAGGTGACGAGGCGGCAGACCACCGGACCAGCAGAATCCGGAGTTAAACTGAGGCCCCAGAGTGGGGCCACATGGGTGCAGACACCAGCACCAGGCAGGGGGTTTGCCCACTAGACCCCAAAAGTGGCCCCCTGAAGCAAGGGGGAGCTGTTCTCTCTTTTGAGAGCAGAGAAGGAAGAACACTTACGCAAGTCTGGTCCCATACAATACTAACACATAAAATCAGCTAAAAACTTGGGTTTCTCAATATAGAGACAATATGGAAGTAAGGAATATTTATATCACCAATTAAGACATAAAATTTCCTTGGCCAACCTATCATGCCCATGTTCTGCTTATATAAAAACTCAGCTTTAAAACCTGCAGTTCTTGCACAGAACCACCTTCTAGGAATCGTGTCCGGCTGATGGCTCAAGCTTCAAGGCACACCCAGGCCAGTCTCTGTGCCGGGAGGTGAGCACAGTGAGCACTGCAGCAAGTTTTTTTGTTTTTTGCAGCATGTTTTACCAGCACACGGGAAGCGGGGGCCACCTCTGCCTGGAATGTCATCCTGCACATGCCTGTCTGGAGCAGCCTAGCGGTGCTCCCCAGTTTCTGTTAACCTTAAGAATTTGATGTCCTGACCAGGCAGCAGCTGGAATGGCCATGCAGAGCTTTGCAAAAGGACTTTGGACAGAAACCAGGTCCAGAGCCCAGGCCTCTTGCTGACTGACCAAAGACAGGTTCGGAGACTGGTGTTGCCTATCAATGAGGTGGGGACTTCAAGACCAAGCTGGTGCCCCACAACCAGGTGCTGGCAGAAGCTGGAGTCTTCTGTTGCTGTAGAAACTCAGAGTGCCACAGAGACCCGAGTTTCCCCACGTTGGTTCAGACCACCTGCCAAGCTACCAGTGACTACTTGGCGAGACTTACGCTTGGCGGGGACGTAGAAGAACACAGGATCCGTCCACGACCCGTTCCCAGAAAGCGAGGTGGCCTGGATCCGGGCCGTGTAGTTTCCCGGGTTGAGGCGATTCAGCCTGGCCCCTCCGTACTTCCTGTACTCCTGCCGGGACACACACTCCCGCTGATCCTGGGGGGCAATGGGGTGGGGTGGCAAACGGGGTATTAGTTCTCTTGCTGTCTAACCACCCAGCCCTACAAATAGCAATTCTGATTTGGAAGCAAAGAAAGAACCAAAGTCATCCTCCTCTGACTTTAGGTACCCCCAAGTTGCAGTCAAGTGATTTTTTCGTAACCAAGAGGAACTCTAGAAGGAAGACAGGTTTCTAAGACCCTGTCTAGTCAGTGCTGGAAGGCTGCTTTCTGCCATGACATGCCTTTGCTCTTGAACAAGTTGGGGGTTAGGGGTGCAGACTCCCAGTCAACACTTTGTACATGTGGACCCACCTCGGTCAACGAGGAGGCCTATCTGTGCAGAAGTGGACAGTTCTGACCCGTGCTGTTCAAGGATCAACTGTGTCTTGTGGGTGAGGACAGCCCAGGTCCCTGTCTACTCCAGGTGCTTCTCAGAGTGTGGAGCTTGGAGAAAGACCCCGTCCTCACTGACTACCATCGAGTCCAGCTAAGCAGTAGGTGACCTGTGTCGTATGGTAGCAAGTGATGCCGTGCTGTGATGGAAACATACCCAGGTCCCATCACACCTTACCTCTATTTGAGATCCGTATTTTATCTCATACATCAGAATCAACCCATTGGGGTTCTCAGGTTCTGGCCACTTTAAAAAGATGGAGTTTTCAGGCTTTGGCTCCCAGGTCACCGGTCCAGGAATGTCATCTGCTCCCTCTGCGTGACAATTTCAACAGCGATTACGTTGGACTTGGTTGGCTCTCACAGAAGGAGGCAGACAATGTGCTGACCTAAGAATAACCCCAGATCGCCACCCCCCTCCATGTGTGCAAGTCTCCGGCCAGCGACTCTCAAGACTCCCCTAAAGTGGCCACACACATGCACACATACTTGCACACACAAGCACAGACGCATGTACACGCACACACAGCAGAGGTTGTGGATTGAAGCAACCCAAGACCTGTCTCAAGATGCCACCAGGCCTACCGCCCCTGTCAACCCAGCCAAGAAGTGTGCTCTCAAGAAGAGTGGGAAGAGCTTGCCAACTTCAGTAACTTATTTCTGGTGCTCTGCTGTCACCACTTGCAAAAGGAACTGGGAGAGGCCCTGGCACATGAGCTGCAGCAGCCGTAGCACCGTGAGCTTCGGGCCAGAACTGGCTCCTTCGAGGCCTCAGTCTGCAACCATAGCCAGTGCGGCGTCTCCACAGGCATGAGGACACAGGCTGCCGAGAGTGGCCACGCCACTGCCCCAGTTCCTCCCACTGCTGGTGGAGGGAGCGGTGCGGCTCATCTGCCTTTGCTTCTCGAAGCACTGGGCCAGGCGGTGAGCATTCCTCGCTGCCAGTCACAGCTGCGGAAGGTGCCGAGCCATCAGCGAGGCTGCAGCTCCCCAGGGACGGACGGGAAACTGAGACCCGGGAGCCTGGCCGCTGCCGAGAGGCCACTCATGTCCTCACCAGAACCCTGCCCAGGAGGCCCCACTCGCAAGGCCATCTCAGCCTCTTTCTACTACCTTCTCTGCCTGAAGGGAAGAGCGGTGGGGTCTTGCCCACTCCCAGAGACAGAGGCACTGGGTGACAGGCAGCGGTGACCTGCGAAAAATGAAGCCCAAACGAGCAGGAAAAGGCCATTCGAGGAGATGACCTCGATTCGCTGTGAATCAAGGCTGCTGCCTGGGGAATCTCACCGCATCTGTGGGAACTCAAGACGGACTGGACAATTTACCTGCATACAAATGAGGGCACGGGGCACAAAGGGAATCTGGTCCAACTCTAAAAAGGGGGTGGGTGATCCCAAACTGAGTTCCCAACTCTTAAGTCCCCTGTCAGGAGAGGCTGGGATGGGAGGCTGGTCTAGTCTACCACGTTGCCTTCAACTCAGCTCCTCTCTTCACTCCCAGGACTGAGACTGAAGGCCTTCACCCTAGGGGGTCACACTCCATGTCCACACATCACGGCCTTCTCCAACAGGCTGTGAGTGACACAGCGATGGGGCTGGATCACACCATACCTGCAGGCATGGTTCTTGCAAAGACAAAGTTGGAGGCACTGCAGCCCAGCTTCTCAGCCTCATGGTTACAGCTGTGGATGTCAATGCGGTACAGGGTGAAAGGTCGCAGGTTGGAAATGACAGTTCTCTCCTTGTTATCCACCCTGCTCTCAAAGAAAGGGTATTCAGTCTCAAGCTCCTCTGGGTCTGTGACATTGTAGGAGTCCACCACAGTGGTGTTCCGACTTCGGCTGGACATGGTGGTGTTGGCCACTTGCATGACGTCTCTCCGCTTCCTTTCAGGTCTGCAAGGCAGAGAGAAGCTCAGCTTAGTGGTCCTACTTCTTCTGTCTCTTCCAGGACAGAAACAGAAACAGAAAACGCTCCAGCTTGTAATCAAAGGAGCTATTCAGCCCCCTGGATAAGAATCAACAAATAACACGGGGATTTCCCTCTTCGTTATTTATTTTGCTTTCTCTACTGTGCAAACCTCAGAATCGGCACACAAACTGCCCTCGGCTCCTGGGATGGTTACTCAGTTATACCTGGAGCAAACAAACGCCCCCGTGCTCCTGGCGAGGCAGTGTTCCAGAGGTGAGCGCCTTCCAGCCCACAGAGCTAGGGGAGCAGCAAAGGTGCCAGCCCCAGCCACTGCCCAGAGACCTACTGGGGAGTGAGCTAGTAAGCTGGTGCCTCAGGCCCCGGAAGGATGGGCAGGGGGAGACCTAAGGCCCGCGGTGGTGGCTTCTGGGACCCCCTCTGATGACAGAAGTTAAGGTGCCAGGCAGCCAGCACCCCTGGGGGCTCCTGCTGACCTCCCCGCCTCAGAGGGTAGCACCTGTGTTTTTTGGACCCCAGCGATCGTGTCGCCTGCGCTCCCATGGCTTTCTCAGGTGTCACCCGAGAAGGGCAGAGCTGGGGTTGTGGAGTTTGGACAAATAACAGCAGCAGAAGCAAACACAGGGCAGCAGACGGGAATGCATAAGGTCACCATAGGGCAATGTGCTCCCCCACAGGGCAGATTAGCTGGTGACCTTCCCAATGGCTACGTTTGTGGGGTACAGAAAAACGGGTTTCTTTGCTCCCCCCCACCCATGCCAACACAAGGGGGGTCTTCAAAATAGGCCCCTAGCATTTACAGGAACCAACGAGAGGAAGGGCCACCCTCAGGTGAGCAGCAGGGGACAGTGTGGGACAGGGCACTGCCCACTCCGCATGAAGCTCTCAGGTATCGCAATGCCTCCTACAAACAGGCGGCAGTGGTGGGCAAAGGGGGCAGTGGAAACAGGAAGCCAAGGAAACGACAGTCCACAACGTAGGATGTTCATCAGTCCTCACAAAGGGGCAAGAGCTGAGGTTCCCACAGGCAGGGAGGCCCCCAGGAGGCCTTCATGGTCACTGCCCTCAGCGGGCTTCCTGCGGGCCCCATCCGTCCAGGAGCAGGAGAGGGGGAAGGCACGGCATGACGGCATGGGGTGGGGGTAGCCTGCCCAGCACACAGCCCCTGCAGAGAACTTGTCACCACCGCGGCTGAGAGCGCACCTGGCCCAGCCACAATGTGGATGCCAAGCACGAGGTGCTCACGCCCCCAGGTGGAGGGTCCCAGGGCGGGGCCTGGAGCTCAGGGCCCAGGGCATCTGCGTTCAATTTCGCAACACCGGGAAAGGTTAAGAAATGAGGCTGATCGTACCCTGTCCTCATCCCTGCACGCCCGCCCACATTCCCCAGAGGGAAGGACACAAGAAATCACATTTATCGCCAGGAAGACTGTTTATCGACACCTCTCAGAACTAATTTTCTGCCTTCTCTTCAGAACCAACATAACATACAAGGTCAACACAACACCCACTTGCACCTGTGAGAAGTTCTTAGGTTTAATCCACTGCAAAATCATAGTCAAACGCCTCCCACAGTCCACCCCAAACCCTGAGACTACACCATAAGGGTCACTCCATAAGCTGGTATAGTTTTTCACAGGTGCCAGCCTCCTGGAGCCGGCAGAGATGTTACCCTGACACCAAGGCAGGGGCCGGGGGAGGGAGGCCTCATGGGGCGTGAGCTGGAAGACCAGCTATGGGGCAAGCAGAACAGCCCGTCCAAGTTCTTTGTAAACAGCTACGTTTCCAAACGGTATGACCCAGCGCAAATATGATCACCAGCTGCCACCCACCACACAGCCTACTCTGATGAGAACACTTCCCACGCCTCTGTAGCTGCCCACGCGCAGTTACTCAAAGCAAACGATGGGGCTGAAAAACAATGGCAGGGCCCGTGGAAGGTCCACGCGCCACCAACTCTAACCTCCATCCTCTGTCAAAGCAGGCCATGTGGGTGATGCACCTTGGACAGACGGACGTGACTGGGTTTAGCTCCCAAATAAAGCGCCCTTAGAGTGCATTGAAAGGAACATGAGTCGACCATGGCCAGTCCCGTTGACTGAAAGACAGAAACAGGTCCTTTATGCTCCCTAGACTCTCTGACCTGAGCTAGCTCTGCTGGGAGTGACACGCCATCAGATCTACGCCACAGTACATGCAGGAAGCAAGAAAGTCCTTGCTCAACGGTGGCCCTGCCCACGGGCAAAGCCCAGAATGGATGAATGTTCTGTGATGAGAGAGACTTGTCATAGAGAGCGAGGTTAGGCTGGCAGGTGTGGAGACGCCTGGGAACTTATTTTGAACTCAAGGACATGAACTCGATGCATCAGTGATATCTGGTGAACACAAGTCTGCCTTCCTGATGCTCACAGCTGGGGTGAACAAAATGGCGCTGGGGAGTGTCCTGTAATTGCACACTGAAAGCAAAGGGCCCTTCAGGAAAACCTTCCCAAATTCTGGGCCCAGAATTGGATCTCTGCGGGGTGAGAGGGGTAAGACAGCAATGTGCCTACAGCCTCTGAGGGACACTAAGCAAACAAGTCCTACCCATCCTGCCCGGGACACTCTAAACTCATCCTGTGTCCACCAGCAGTTCCCTCGGGAAGGCGGCTCTGGCCCGTTGCAAGGAGCCGTGTTGAGCAGGAAGGACCACACCCCAGAGAGATCACTAGTCAGGATGTCAGGCGTCACTCAACTGCTCTCTCAGTTCTCGTTTTAAACACCTCTGTGTTCTTTTCTAGTCCTCAACTTCCCAATTTTCCAAACCACACTCGATACGTGGGGAAGACTAGTGAACCCCAACCTGGTACTGTGCCATCAGAGAAGACATCACCGTGCTGGTGGGAGGAGCCGCAGTGGGCAGGAGAGGGGCAGAAATCACAAGCAACAAAAAGCTTCATTCTGAAGCGGACACGGCACTTCGTCTTAAAAGGTCACTATTTGGTATTTTAGGGAGATTTTCCAAGATGGCTATCGCTGATTATTACACACACGTCAGCAGGGTCACTTGACAGAAAAAAAATATGGCTTTAAAAGCCATTTGTTGTTATAACCTAAGAACCCCATTAAGGGCAAAGTAACTATGAGGTAAATGGACACCCCAGGCCTCTGGTCCCCCTCAGCGTGGGAGTGGCAAGGGGGAACCAGGGCCCTGCTGGTCTGAACCAGATCTTCCATCCAGATCTCAGGCCAGAGGCGGCTCTCAAATGACACCCTTTAGTCCGTCAGAAGAAAAGGGAGCCTTCAGCCTCCACTTCATTTCCATTCCCTCTTCCAGACATCACAGGAATATTCTGCTGAACTCTCCTTTGCTTTTTTTGAAAACTTTTTTATTGTTATAAAGAAAACCATTTTAATTAAAATATTCCACCTAATCCATTGTCAAGTGCACAGCTCAGTAGCAACGACAGTGATCACCTTCCTAATATGTGACTGTCATACCTGTTTCCAAAATTTCCATCACCTTAAACAGAAGCTCCACACCTATTAGATGAACTCCCCATTTTCCCTTCCCCCAGCTCCTGGTAACCACAAATCAACTTTCAGTTTGCCATGGAATTGCCTTTCTACGTTATCTCATTCATGTGGAAATGACATGCTATCTGTCCCTTTGAGTCAGGCATCTTTCATTTTCTGTCATGCCTTTAAGGTTCATCTATATTGTTGATCGGGCCTTAGAAGGCCTTTCCTTTTTTATGACCGAGTAATATTCCACAGCATATTCAGACCAGTTTGTTCATTTCTCTGTTGAACACTGGGGTTGCTCCCAGCTTTTGGCGGTTGTGCACAGTGCTGTGCACACACTTCCTTCCCTACACTTCTGTCCCCACTGGGCAGCAGCGGAAGAGCAGGCAGCCTGTGAGGGAGGCGCTGCTTCAAGCGGCAAGGCTGTCTCCCACACTGCTTCCCAAGCTGGTCTCCTTTGAGAAGCGATCTTTTCCCTTTTGCTTCACTCCTCAGCCAGCCTGAGAGAGGCATCAGGAAGCACAGAGAGGGGTTCAAATCCCCACTCTTCAGTCACTGGTTTGCATGAGCCTGGGCAGGGATTGGTTGCTCGCCCACCCGCTGCCCTTGCTACAGGGGCTGTGTGGCTGAGCGGCACATGTACCCTCCACGCACACATATATACACACTGACCTAAGTAAATAAGTACACAGATATAGTGAAATATGGGGTAACAATACATGCCCCTCTGTGGGGAGCCTTTCTTCGGGCCAACCTGCTTGCACAAGAACCTCACTCCACCAGGCTGTTAACCGCATCTACCGTTCCTGCCTCAGTGGTGGCTGGGTGTGGCCCTGAGGCCACCAACCTCCCACGGCCCAGGAAGAGAGAAAAGGATCAGAATCTGTCCCGGGAGCACCAGCCTGGAGACGTTTCAAATGACCCGGTACCTGGGCACAAAGATGGAGTTGTGCAGGAAGTTCTCAAAGACCTTGCGGTATTCCGCCTCCTCCTTCTCCGCCTGCTTCTCGGCTTCCGTCTTGGGGCACGCGCAGCAAGGCCCTTTCTCTCCACCGCACACTTCAGTCTTGGGGTTCTCCGTCACCTCTTCCACATCAATGGTGCCATCGGCATACTTCCTGATGGGGATTTTGTCTGCTTGGAAAAGAGGAGTCCACGGAGAGTGGAAATGAAACCACCTTACATGCTTGAGAGGGCCAAGGGGAGCTGTGGGGGCACCCCAGTCCACGACGCAGCTGTTTCCAAGGGAGGCGATCCCCCACGGGTACCGGGCATGCCCTGGGGCCGCCCGTGTCCAGGCCCCGCCCCCACACTCACCTTTGGAGCAGTAGTTGTGCTGGTAGAGGTAGCTGTCTTGCGGCTGCCGCTGCCACCTCACAATGTAGTAACTCAGGTTGCCGTTGGGCAGAGAGGGTGGGTTCCACTTCACAATCAGCTGGGAAGAGGAGTTTGACGCCGAGAGAACGTCCAGGGGGATGGAAGGCACTGGAAAGGGGCACAAAGACATTTCAGGTGTCAGCTAGAGCCCAGGCTCTCAGACGCTGGGAGACACTGCCACAAACGGAAGGTTGTTTTGCAATGGTATCAATGTAAATCCAACCGCTCCCGTTGCACTCTCTGTCCTCGGTAATCTCGGCAGGAACCGACATTCCCGAGCACGCGGCACATGGGAAGGGCTGCGGGGTCAGGCTGGAGAACTCGGGTCTCCGGCTAATTCAAACATGAGCTCTTCTCACGCATTACAACTGGCAGCTTCCAAATGTCTGACACCGACATTTTAGCAAATGGCAATGCTGACTGATCTGTATTTCACGCTAGATTTCTGAACTGATCAAAAAGGTAAGAGGGGATGGAGCGCGTGGTGGGTGTGTGTGGACGCATGCACGCACGCATGCATGCACGTGAGAGCTGAGGAAAGGCCAGGGGAAGCTCCGAGACGTTTCCTATTCTATCCTCATGCTCCACCGGGCTGACTGAGACACGACTCTGAGCCATGGTCTGAAAACTCAAGCTCGCAGGCAGGCAGGACGTCCCGTGATGGACTCCGACTTACAGGCAGGACAGGCATTTGGTCATGTTGATCTGTTACCCCAAGCCCCAGCCAGGAGCTGACCTGGGTGTAAAGGGTAAATGCTTCCCAGGCTGCCGAAAGCATCTTCGGCACATCTTGGGGTCACAAAAAAGCAGCAATTTCAGTGGGTTTCCTACACTCTGGAAACCCACCCTACATGTCGATTAAGCTACGTGGGTGTCAAGTTTTAAAACTGGAAGGGGGTGAACAGCGTCTGGGTGCTTTATAGTCCACGATGCCGCATATCAGATTCAGATTCCCCTAAAGAATGACACTTTGGGGCAAAGTTATGCCTAAGGCCAGCTCTACTCAGGGCAAAGCTAACCATGGAATGTGAATCACAATCATTTCAGAAACAGCTTACCCCTACAGATCTCATAATTGGGGTTCCCAAGAGCAGACCACTTGATGCTCTGTCCTCACCAATAGTAAGGACAGGGACTGAAAAGTTGTGAACTGACTTAATTTTCACTGTGAGGGTGAGTGACATGAGAAAAGGAGGAAGCAGGTGTATGCGCCAAAGGTATTCCCCACCCATAACCCCCCCCTTGGCCATTTAAACTTATTTTGTGCTAACTTACCCATGTTCCCAGATGGCACTAACAAAGGTCTCTCATCAAGGAATGCTTACCAGTGACATCATATTTATAACGTGTGCCTTGCTGCTCTAACCTGGTTTTTATATACTTGAGACACACACACCAATGTTTGCTTCTGTTAGTTCCAGGTCTAGAGCAGGCAAAGGCAGTGCTTTAGACGATGAAGGTCAAGGGAGGGAAGGGACATCCTTGCCAGCAGGTAGTATGAAGACCCACAACATACACATCTTTTGGAAGCCTCGGGCCTGCCCAATGAACACAGAAAATCGAAGAGCCAAGGAGGTCACAGAACACAGACTGGCATGGTTTCCGCCCCGGAAGGTTCTACTATCAACACTAACAGGAAGGGCAGCCACAGAAGGTCCTCTCCTGGCTGGGCCTTCCAATGGAAGCAGCCCAATTTCCTGGGGGACCTGCCCACAGCAGACAGATAATGGAAAATGGTACCATGTCCAGAAATGGCCCGGAAGAGCCAAGTGTAAGGGGTGGGAATAAGAGCAAGAGCTTTTCTGCCTCGGCTGGACTCCCCAGGCAGGCAGTCCAGGACAGCGTGACAACAGGTAGACACCCTCCGCTACCTCTTGCCATAAGCAGGGACAGGGAGTGCGTGCAGAAGCTTGGGGTGGCCTGGGCAGGCAGGGTACCTGAAGCATTGGTGCGAATGTACAGGATTTCACTCTTGGCCCCTCGGATGTGGTCATTCTCCACCATGGTCAGGGTCACGGCCTTGACGTAAACAGCATACTGCGTCCAGGGCTTCAGCCCGTGCAGCAGGATGCCGGGCTCGCTGTCCTTGTTGGGAGGGAGGTCCACGTCCACCATATTCCAGCTGTTGGAGCCGCAGGCATCCTGCCCGTCATACTCCGTGACGTTTTTAAAGGGTCTGAAAGGCAATCAGTAGAGCTCAGAGGATGTCTCTGGGCTCGGCCATCAGAGGTCTCAGAAACCTTCCCCAGGGGCCCGGCACATCCCACTTTCTATAAAGGGAGTCCTAAATCACACATATCATCCAATAGAGGGGCACAGAATAAAATGAAGCAGCAGACTCTGGGTTTCACCAGCGTTATGCACTAAGGGGCTGCATTTTCGGGCTTGGGAAGAGTCCATTCTAGAGGTACAGGGATCGTGCCTTCAGAACACCTGCAAATGCAATGGTTCATTCATCTAATTGTGACTTTTTCTGGACCGTTAAGAAAAATCCAGCAGTCATTTAATGGAAATATCAGGTAAAGATAAAGGATAACGTTTGGAGAAAAAGACTGCTATAGAACAAACAAAACCGGTTTGTACAACACAGCTCCCAGTATCCAATTCTCTGGAAAACAAACGTCTCCCTTTGGATTTCTTTTATCAAGGCTCCCTAATTAGCCAAGGAGGAAAGCCAGGCCTCAAGCTAACACTTTCCCGTTTGTAGCTGTCACCACGGTGATGGGGATGGAGGAGCCTGACAGTGGGGAGGACGGGAGGAGGGAGCAGGGGCCGCCTGCCCACAGCCCAGCCACAGGAGGGCCCAGTGGTGCAGAGACTCAAGAACTCACGCTTCCTTGTAGTAGACGGTGAAGCTGATGAGGTCCCTGTAGTCCGGGGGTCGGTACCGGTGCCAGGTGATGATGATGCGGTTCTTCCACGTGGTGGTGGAGGTGAAGTGCAGGACGTCGCTCTCACCTGGGGCACAGAGGCGCATCCGTGAGGGACAGAGACCGACATCCCCCGTGCTTTTCTCTGAGGCCGGATGTGCACGCTGTCACCCGCCTGGGCTTCTCAGTGGCTCTTACTTCTAAGCCCCCAAATACCTCACTACAAGGAGCTTCCTTTGCTTGAGTACACCTGTTCGCACCTGGGGGACACCTCACTTGCAAGAGGACCACCTGGGTGAGCGAGGCTGTGTTGCCCTTCTGCCCAGCCCTTAGAGACAGGCCTGGAGGATGAGCGAGGAGTTTAAGCTGGGCCGAAACTTCTCACAGGATGGCGCCTGTGGACATCCGTCTGCTCATGTGCAACCACCAGCAGCAGGTAGCAAGGCAGGTGTGCCACAGAGGGGACTTTTCTGAGTCTGCACTCGGCACCGCAGAGGAAACACAGGAAGTCTTGGGACTGCAGGGGCTAACAGGTAGCGACTGAAAAAGCAGGATGGGAACTACCTTCACCTGGGAAGGCCTCTGATCTGGGAGAGGAAGCCTCGGCTGGTGGGGGTTTCTAGGGGACGGCCGCCCCAGCCCCCTGTGCTCTTCAGCCGGATTCCAAGCGGGCAGAGTGGGGAGACAAGGGTGACCGCCTCCCCTCGGGGGACCCGGAGTTTCTTCCCGAATTGTCCTGGGTGTATTTCTGCTGTATTGGCTCACACTAAGGGGGGAAGCAGAGTGGTTGTGGGTGAAATGCGCTGGACAGGGCTCAGGAGAGCGTGCAGCTGCACAGAGGTGTTATTTGGGAGAAAACCCGGCTTTGTTTTCACAGGAGAAGCAGCGGCTATGGAATCCGGGAGCTGGCAGGTCAACGCCGGGCTCCTGGGAGAAGCCGCTGAAGGCCAGCTGATGCGTTGGCTGCAGCCGTGCCAGGGCTGGGACGGGCAGCGGGCAGGGCTGTGCAGGCGCGGAGGCAGGAGGAGGCTGGCCGCGAACACGCCCGCCACTCTGGCCGCTTCTTCTCTCCAAACTCCGGGTGGTCCAGCCACTGTTGACACGGTCACCTGCCTACCACATCACAGGGCCCCGGCCTGCGTGTGCAAACCGCCCTCCGCTGAGGAAATGACTGTTTTTTTCCTAATACTCTTCGACTTATTAAAAGCCGGTGGTGGAGAGACAATTCACCTCTTCTCACCCTCTCCAGCCAAACAGACGCACAACAATTTAAAAGCGGTTTTCCAGATGGGGTTAGAGGAGAGAAGCGCCGTAAAAGTTGTATCACCAGTGCGGGGCGGTAATGAGATGGTGCTCCGTTTGAGAGGCAACTCCCACGCGGGGAGAGGGATCACCGGCGTCCCTCAGGGTGTGGGGGAGCAAGGAGGCGGCGAGTCAGGGACAGGGGACTCGGGCTGCACACCCCGCTTCCCTGGGTGGGGGGTGGCTCAGAAGAAACCGGCTTTCCTTTAAGAAGCCTCTCACCTCGCCGCTGTGCACAATAAGGTGCTGAACGCTGCTCAGTGAGCGCGGACGTGGCACCTAAGGACCGCGGGAGAGAAGCGCTGGGCGCCCAGGAAATTTATCACTACGAGACTGATGAATCTGCCCCACTAGAGACTCTGAAGGAAAAGATCTGTGAGCAAAGAGCGAGTTCAGGGGACCGTGTGTCCCCCGAAGGGCCAGCAGGCAGCACCGTGCCCGCTGGGGGAGGGTTCGCGTGGTTGCCAGAGTGTTCTGGACAGGAGGAGGGGTCCTGTGTCACAGCTGCTGAAACGGAAGGACTTCACATACAAGGAGATTGGGGGACTGGGATCTGCTAACTTTTAAAACGGAATTTTCCTCCGGACCAATAACCAGGATTTCCCTGTAAGTCCTTGGGGTGTCGGTCACGAGTGGGGAACTTAATCTCTCATCATGACACAGCCTTGCAAAGTGATTGTACCGAAATGCACTGCCCTTGCGTCACGTGATGCTGCACACGTGCACAAACGGAGGTGCGCGGCGGTACCCCCAAGCTGCAGCGAGGTACACGACTGACAGTATGGCCTTTCGGGCTGGGAGGGGGGCGGGGAGGCCGTCTCGGGACTGTGTGGAGACAGCGGTGGCCACTCACAGGAGGCTCTCTCGCCGTTGTTCCTGGTGTTGATGTCCCCTTTGCTCTGGCGGCCTTTAGTCCCGGTCACCTCCTCCATGCGGTAGATTTCAGAGACGCAGAGTTTGGGGTTGAAGGCGAAGTACATCTTGCCGGCTTTGATGGTCAGGTTGCGGTGGTCCCAGTCCCACAGCTGCTGCAGGTTCTGGTTGTCCAGGACGTAGAAGGAGTAATTCCTGGAAGCACAGAACCCACGTGAGCCCCGGCCCTCTCTCCTCCACGCTACCTGCCAGCGGCCCCTCTGGTGGGGATACCCCTCCTTTGCAACAGGAGATTCCGTTATTAATGGGCTATGGGGACGGGCGGTCGCTGCTAACAGCATAACCCAAGGACAACATATTGATGTCGATAAGACACTAATTAATTTTATGACCTCTATTACCAACCGATCGTGTTTCTCACGCTGGAGGGTGTTACTTGAATCGTCCCCAGAAAAGCCATTGGTCAGTACCAAGTACGTACAAGGCCTTGAAATCAGCCCATGGGTGAGCAGATTCACTCTGTGACTCAACAGGATCAGCTTACTATTTGCTGTAGAAAGTGTGCCCTCTTCCTTGGGGGGCAAAGTATACCCCCGCAGAAGGCAGCACAGGGTGGGTGGGAGAGCACGGGGCGGGGGGAGGGCAGGGAACACACATGGCGGATGCCAGCCTGGGTGTACCCTCTCTGTAGTCACTGCCCCTCCCAGAAAGCCCAGCGGCAATCTCTGAGATGGCGCGGGGCAGGGCAAATGACCCTAGACGGAAGGTCCCCTTGGGCCACCCATCCAAGAAATGCCCACTGTCCAATTCAATTTTTGTCTGCACCAAGCTTGTCTGCAAGAACCTGGCCAGAAACATGCAGCCTCTCCCCAGTTTCGGATTCAGCAGGTCTGGCAGGGCCGAGAACATGCACCTCTGACCGCCCCCTGCAAAGCGGATGCTCTTAGTCCTGGGCTCACACTTGGAGAAGGGCTCTCCTGCACGCCAAGCGCCGAGGAAAGGCTGGGCCCAGAGCTGACCCAGTCAGATGCAGCCTGCTCCAGAGAGTGGACCTGGATGTCCACTGAAAGCAAAGTCGGGGGTAGTCAGCTTTGGCCACTGCTACCCTGGCTATCCAGCTGGGAGAATCCCACATCATCCAGGAAGCTCAGAGAACAGAGGGTGTGTGGGGGAAGGACCACTTTCTCTCTGGATTCCCCAGGAAACCCGGCAGACAGTTCGCAGCTGACTATCTGAGCCCTCTGCCCTGAAGGGTCAGGTCTCCACGGTCCTCAAATGCTTCTTCCCCACCTTCTGCTTCCTGGCTCTTTTCCTGGGGCTCACTTACAGCATGCAAAATGGAGTCTAGGAATGGGGGCAGCACACCGATCTATTGCCAAGATCCATTCACAGCTCCAAACCATGGAGGGGCAGGCAGGCACCCGCCTCCTTCCACAGCCAGGACGAAACAGAGGCCAACAGCTCTGTACACGCTGGGGCTTGTCTGTGCCACCTCTGTGTCCAGTTGAGCTCTGCACCCCACCCTCACGGACCTCCAGCCACATGGCCGATGCTCTGCCTGAGCCTCTTTTCAGGCAAAGCAATAAGTAAGCCTCCTCTAGAAGGCAGCCAAGCAGAGCCCAGCCATGTCCCTGGGCTTCACAAGGGAGCGGCCGGGAGGACCTCAGAGGTGGCAAACACTGGAAACCCCACTGGGGAGCTGCACAGCCCTGGGCAAGCCACCCAGCGCTCCCCTGGCCTCTCCCAAGCTCACACAGGTCGGGGTATGGACAGGTATCACCTGAGCTCCCTCTTACCTGTGCGCGTCCAGGGCCCTCCTGCTCACCATAGATCCAAAATGAAATCTGCCCCAGCAGCCTGAGGCTCTGCCCTATGCAAGCAGGACCACTATGGCGCCGGGTGGGGGTGAGGGCTAGGGGGGAGTGGTCCTGCCTGCACAGGGGTTCAGTGGACTAATAAAAAAGCCCCCAGGCGTGCTTCTGACAGGGTCCTTGCTAACCCACCTGCGATCCTTGCCATGGCTGCAGGATCAGGCAGCCCGAGTGTGAGCTAATAATTCTTTCCTTCCACTAGGAGCTCACTCCCTAACATGCATCTGCTGAAGAGCACACAGAACATCATGATGAATGTGGGTGCAGGTGGGGCAACCCCAGGGCTTGCAGGCAGGAACTGGGGCTCTGATCACAGGCCCCTTCTTGCTCACGGAATTGTGCGTCCAGCTATAGGACACTGCCGGTCAGTGCTGACCCAAAAGGGTCCGGCTGTTGCCCAGGTTCCCAAGTCAGCCTCCCAGGATAAAAGTGTTACTGGTACAGAAACTGCTAGGCCAGGAGTGAGAGCCAATTAGCCAGGTCAAATGTCCATCTCGATCCAAGATGAGGTTTCTTTTCAGTCAACTAATTTCACCACCAGGGAACAGAACGGCGCCAAAAATACCTTCCGAAAAAAACATGCTTCTCCCCATGGGAGGAAGCGTGAATTATAAATCAGGAATTTGACAAATGAATGGCAGGCACACCGAAATGCTGTGTATGTGATTAATCACTTTGAAAAGCAAGATTATCTTTTTACAGTAAACAAACTTTTCTTTAGCACACTGAGAAGGCCAGGAGTAAGGGTGCCCAGATCAATAAAACCCAGGAGTGATGGAGCCCGTGTAAGTGACAGAAAAATAAAAATAAAGCTCCCATCAAAATAATAATCCAGCCATTCATGAGCTGACAATTCTGCTCTTGTTTCTGCAACCCCAGATGGGGACCTGGCCTCTCCTACCCCATTCCTTCCATGAGTAGGTGAGAATTCAGAGTCAAAGGCGAAGACAGGCTGGTGTGTGCACCCTACACACACACACGCAGTGAGGTACTCACTGTCTCCTCCAGGAAACTGACTTAAGTCAATTATTCAACAACTGTTTCTAAATTTGCTCCTTTTACAGTCAAAGAATATTTAAAAAAAAATTTGCTTGTTGATTTCTCTGCAGCTTACGCTACATCCAGGATGCCTGAATTTTAGAGATTGGGGCATCTTGGCTCCTGGCCCTCTCAGCATTGCAAAAGATGTTTCTGGACGTGCCCATCTGCAGACCCACTGGGGGCCTGGGAGCGGCTAGTTATCTCCTGGAAGATGTCTGTCTGGTGTCTGCACTGACTGCTTCAGGGCCGCCTTCCCCTGCATTATGAACACCCTACTGGCTCTGTGCGGGAGGACATGAGTGGTGCTCAAATCGCAGGCCCCAGTTCAGGAATCTGGGAACCCACAGATCGGGGTCTGAGCCTCACACCCACAGATACTAGGCAACAACTCAGGCAAGTCCTTTATCCACGGGCTGAGGGGAGCTGGCCCCAAGGTCTCCAGCCCACAAGGAAGGCATGATCCCCTTCTTTGTCTTCGCTGCCTACTAGAAAAACACCTGCAAACACACACTGGGCCCCCCTTTCGTTCTCAGCAACACCGTGGCCTCCTTCTGCCGTCTCCAGGGGGCACCAGAACCCAGCAGACGGGCGGTCTCCAGCACCCCAGCTACCTGTGACCTGTGATAACAGCATTTGGGCTTCTCACAGAAGCTGCCTCCAGCCCTTCTGCAAGAGGCTGCTTTGCACCCCATCCCAGTCACCCTAACCCCTATTTTACAACAACCTGCAAGGGGAGAAAGGGTTCAGCCAGGCCCCAGACACTCAGAAAATGTTTCTGTTTGAGTGCTTTGTAAATAATCTCACCTTAGTATTATATATATCTACCCTAGCCCCGGTTTTTGTCACCCATTGCTGGCATCCTTTCACGAGTGAATGTTCATTTACAGCTGGCGACTGCCCCTCCTGCAGTTTGAAAACTGCCCCACCTCTTCCTGATGACACTCGGTTTCTGCTCACATCCTCAGCCATCTTGACCCACTTTCTGGCTCCAAAGTTTAGTTCTGCTTTTCTAGAAATGACCTATTAATGCAGTCATGCAAGATATATCGCTGACAGGACTGTTGGGGGGCGGGGCATCCTGGGGCGCAGAAGTGTGTAGTGAATACCACTTTACGCGCATTCACACTCAAGTCTTGGGTGGGCATGTTTTCATTTCTCCTGGGTAGACCTGAGTATGTAGATTTTAAAGTTCCAGAGAAGGGTTAAGGCGGACGTGCTGAAAGCTAATGTCAGAGTTGCAGGAGTGCAGGATGAAGAACAGCGGATCCGTCCCAAAGTCCCGCGGAATAGGCCCGCAGAGTCCTAAACACAGTCAAGAATTTCTGCCCTTATAACCCGACCACCTCTACCCACTTTCCTTTCAGGGCAAGAATCCTCGGTGGGACCAAACAGTCTGAAATTTTAACTTATCTGATGCCATCAGAAATTAAGGGTGTCCAGTGAAAAGGCTCCCCCAAGCATCATTAACACTATCTTTCTTACCCAAGGGCTGAAGAGTTAGCTGTCTTAGAAACATAGCCACTCCTTCCTAAATAGCAAAGGACCTTGATTTTTCTCAAAGTCGACCAAAAAACAGCCCACATTACACACCACCGGTGCTATTCTCAAGGAACTCTGGCTGTCTCGGTGTTTCTAGACAAAACCACCACCGCGCGGTCCCAGGCGGCTGGGGGGCCTGGCCGTACAGCAACTGGGGGCCCTGCTGTCCATTCCAACCAGATTCTGCCTTTATCTGTCACCAGCCTGGAAATCGGGTGACACAGCTGCTGCCTTCTCAGCCAAGACTCAGTCTCCTTCAGGCCGAGCATCTGAGTTGCGTGACTCCGTGGTCTGGGCTGCTGGGAGCTGTCGGGAGGCAGATCTCGACTCGAGTTTGCAAAGCCCAGGTCAGCAGCTAGGACAACCTCAGCAGAAAGAGAGGGCCTGAGCGCCATCCACACAGGAGCCCACAGCACTTCACTCTGTTGACCTCTGGAAGCACTTATTTACCTTTTCCGGGGCTGTGAGGGTTCAAGAATAAACTGTACTTGCAAGCAATAATTTCAGCAAGAAAATATTTAGGAAAAAAATCTCAAAGTGTTTTGGGGATAAACACATGGGAAGAAGTAACAGGGTAACACCGGCATTTCCCATCTTTGTAGCACGGTGAAATTATCTGGTATGCACCCCCGCCCCCAAACACCGACTGAACTGGGATGGAGTGTGACCTGTGTATCATGGATCCTCAAGAAGCTCTCCAGATGTGAGTAGCAAAGTCCGGGAGCCTTTGAGGTGACAGTTAACTTAGCTCAAGAGCATGCAGAAATGCAACGTGCAGAAATTGGATTTCTGGACAACTCTGCTAACATCCCTCTCACTCAAGAGCCTTGAGTAGGTCCCACTGCCTCCCTAAAGTATAGCCTCCGCATCTGGGTGCAGAACCCCTTACGTAATTCTAATACCACCTACCTCTCCAGCATTATTCGCCAAACAGGCCCCAGGATGCCCCAACATGTTGCCTTGCGCAGATGCCCTGCCCTGAACCACTTCACCCACTGCTTCCTCAGTGTTCCGGAAGCTTCAAGGCCCGTCGCAAACGGCACTGCTTTCGGAAGCCTCTGATCTTCTCGATCAGATAGCCGACTCGCTCGTGCCCATGGCACCTTCCTTTCTTCCCCTCGGAGCACCTTGCAAGTTCTGCTTTGCAGTGCTGGCATCTGATTCTCTTCTGCCCTTCTTCTCTCCCTCCCTCTGACCCTTCCCTTCCTGCAGGGATGAGGGAGCAAGGGAAGGAGCTGACCAGGAAGAAATAAAGCGCTGAGCCATCTTTCTGGCCACACTGCACGGGAAGGAGCTGGGGGAGCTCATCACGGGCCTTCTCTTGCCCCGTGTGTGAAAGGCAGGTGAGAGCCCCTTTCCCTTCAGGGCAGGCAAGGCCCTGTGCCCCTCCTGAAAGGAGTGCCTCCAGCCAGCAGCTGGCAGGAACAAAAGGCTAGAAGCCCATGTCCTCAGAGCTACCAGGGCCACAGATCACAGCACACTGAAAATCTCCGGCCCATGTGCGGTGCTCGCCATCTAAACGCTTAACAGCAGGGCAGGGGCCGAGGCTTACCTGAGTGTGGAAGCTTCCGGAACACCTGAGCACAGGCATCCTCACAAAAGCCCCCTGGGGACTCTGGGCTTTCCACACATGCAGATAATGAGAAACGTACCCTCAATACTCTTGCAAATGAAAATCAGGTTCCATTTTCAGCTACATTTAAGTGGATAATGCTTTTTAGTTAACGCCCAACTAAAAGATAATCACCTCATGCAATAATTCCTAATAAGAATTAATTAAACTCACCTCCCACTTTTCCCCTCTAGGTCTATCACTGGCTCAGCAGATACCAATCTACTGGAGACAAAGAGCTTCTTGGGATTCCGGAAACACAAACCCACCGCACTGGGTAAGCCCAGCGGGCCACTCTGGGCACAAAGCTGCCCCCTGGATCTTCTAGAAGGGAGGAAAGGATTTTCTAAAGAAGCCTAGTTCTCCGTGGGGAGGAGCATGTTTTTCAAGGATGGAATGAAGAGTTGCCCCTCTCTGTAGCTGTATCAGATGACGGAATTTTAAGAATTTAAGACTGACCAAGAGTTAGCCTGAGAAAAACAGGAAGGCTGAAAAGAACCTTCCTGTGGTAACTTATCCCACAGGGGCACACACATCAGCAAGGACAATCTTTCCCATGCCCTCCCCACCTTTCTTCCTCAATGCTGTCCCCAAATTCTCCCAGGCAGGCCTTGACACATTAACAGGCATCTCCTTTAATTCCGAGGCATCAGCTTAGCATCACGCCAGAGAGCTGTCTTCAACGGGGCCGGGAGAAGAACACCACAGAGGTGCCCACAGACAAAGACACCGGTGAAAAGACACCGCAGAAAAGACACCGGTGTGCAGTAAGCACCAGCTTTCCCCCTCCTCTGGAGAAAAGCCTCCGACTGTTTTAGAACCTCTCTCAAAGTGCATCTCTGCAGAAGGCAAAAACCCATGGACAGTGTAAATCCTAGAAGCTGGTCAATAGAAACAATTTTGCAAATCGAGATTTCTTTGTAACAAAAAGGACTGTCCAGATCGCTTATGTTCCAAGGTATTTGAAAAGCTACAGGGGCAGCAGAGGCGTGTCCCAAGGCAGCTGTGAGTCTTGTAAATGAAGATCTCATGGGGCGTTAATTCCCTGAGACCCATTCCCAGGCCTCTGGGCAGAACAAGCTCCCAGGGCAGCCTCATCCCTGCCTGTCCCACCACCGGCCTCGGTCAGACCCACTGACCGAAGGTGTGTTTCTAGAAGGCAGAGAACTGCAGCTCCCAGGCTGATGAACAGACTGTGGCATCATAAACACCAGGGTGGTGTGGGCACCACCCTGGGCCTTGTTCCCAAGAAAGCGCTCCTTTGCTCATGAGTGACGCGGAGCTTCAAAGCACAGGGCCGATTCTCTGTTGGGGCACCTCTGTCCACGGGCTGCGGCCACTTACCCCTCCAGCTGCTCCTCTCCTAGGATCTGCCGAAGGTTTTTGAGGAAGGACAAGGAGACCAAGGCATGGGAGTGGCGGATCTTCACGTAGCCCGTCACCACCTCGATGAGTCCCATGAAGTTCTCCAGCTCCGAGGCAATGTTATCTGCGTGAAGAGGGGTCCGGTCAGGAGGCTTCGCTTCACATACGGGGACACACACGGTTTCTTGTAAACACGCGGAGACACGCGGGGAGTAGTCAGTGCAGGTCTCGGGGATGCTGCCACCCAGGAACGCGTGAGCCCCTGTGACCGACCGACTTCCTGGGATTCACCAACCAGGGACAGGGCCTGGCGGCCGGGGAAGGTGTGTTTCTAGAAGGCAGAGAACTGCAGCTCCCGGGCTGATGAACAGACTGTGGCATCATAAACACCAGACTGCTAATTAGTACAGGCCAACAAGTCTGGGAGCGTCTTTTAATGTGCTCTGTCAACAGACAGGACTGCCTCACGGTACTGACTAAACCAACACCACTTGCTTGGGCCCATCAGGAAGGCATTTCTAGTTCCTAAGATACAGGGGTCTATTCTTAAAGGTTCCCATCTTGCTACGAGTGGAGGAAAACACAATGGCTACATGCAGGTGAGTTTTAAAAATTCATCTCTGTGTTTCTAAGTTTTCTAGAAGGCACATGGATTATTTTTATAACTGGAAAGCCGCTGTGAAAATACCTGCTGACGTGCATGTGAAATCAACACAATACATGTAAGCAGTGCATTTCTGTTACCTTGGTGAGCCTCTTTTTCTCCTAGAAAATAAAAAAAATCAGGTCCTCCCTGGTGGTGCAATGGGTAAAAGCACAGCACTATGAAGCTGTCTGCATCCGCTGTAGCATGAGTTCGATCCCCGGCCAGGGAGGTGACCCACACATCGCAGGCAGACCTCTCCTGTCTTGCCCACTGCTTCCCTCTGAGTGTATTTCAGTACATCTACCTGTTCTGTCCCCCACTCTATCTCTGGTGAAGTCTTTCACCCCTCTGCACCTCTGGCCTGTACCCCAGTTCTTGTATGTATAAATAAATAAATCTTAAAAAAAAAAAACGCCAACTTTTGGTTCAGCTTATGCCAACATTCAGTGCTATCGTGAATGGGGCGTGACTCAGTGAACGGGCTACTGGGGGCAGGATTTGGGAAGACTAACTGAACAAAGTGCTCGGGCTTGAACTGATGCAAGTGAAAGAATAAGGGTGCTGTCCTGGAGGGTCAGGCCCTGCCTTTAATGTACCGCTCAAAGGCTTAACAGGATAATTGAAGGAGTTCAAGTTCAAAGTCGAGAGGCTGCTGCACTTGGTGTTTCAAGGGAAAGAGGCTGGATTTTAAATGCAGAGGCCCGTGCCTTGTAGCCAAGGCCTGGCGGGGGATGCCCTGGTCACTGAACTGTCCCATCCCGCTGAAGTAACTGCTTTCCTGCGCTGGGTGTAAGCTGAAAGGCAGATGTCTAGGCCTGTCTGGTGGAGACACACTCCTCAAATTACACCTCTCTGGATTTGATTTATGGATTCTGGCTTTATCTTTAGAATAGGAAGATTACATCAAAAGAAGGCTCAGATGGAAAGGCTACCTTCTAGGGATGAGGGCAGTTTTAAAAATGAGGAAACCTCATAAGAGCAAAAAGAAGAAAACTGCAGAAGTAGCTTAGTAAGAAAATTCTAGCTGGGTGGAAGCGTAGGGGTGCTGGGGGTTGAAGGTATGGAAACAAGAGATTGAAAAGTCAAAGCACTAAGCAAGAACTTGTTTCTGCCATCTCTCTTTTTCCTTTTCCGCTTTCTTTTTGTTTTTGCCAATTCCGAGCCACAAGAACAGGTCCCTCATTCCACAAATAGTACTGGAGAAAAGGACATTCACTTGGGAAACTCTCTGAGAGTTTCCCCCCACCAGGGGGGAGTTTAAGGCAACATTACTAGGCACTTTGTCCATTAAAGAGGAGACGTGAACACAGCTCGGAATGAGTCAGTGGGAGCCGTTTCGTGTACGACCATCAGGGTGGCGATGGCGAGCCTCAGAGGTGAGACCCCTCCCTGCTGGCGCTCATCAATACAGGTGGATTTCAACCGCTCTTTGGAGTTAATAACATTTTAAAGTCCTATCCTTAGGCTCTTCCCTTTGCTCAGTCTCCTCAGTTTATCCCAGGAACCAAAACCCTGGGGACACAAAGCCGAGTGGACCCAGCTCTGGCCGGAGGCTGGTGAGTCACGCCTGTTCTCCGTGGGAGCCTCCTGTGGTTTGTGTGTTAGGACCTGCCTCTCCTGCATAAGATGGCTGGCGCACGGGGAGATGAGGGATGACCTTCTCAGGAACAAGCCAACGGCAAGAGAGCAGACTGCCTTTCAATCTGCTCTTTACCTCCAAGGGCAACTCGAAGGGAGGCGGCAAGCATGAGGCTGACGTATACCGTTGTGTTTGCTAGCTCCATATTTTAGTCATGAGTCACCGACGGGGAGGAAAAGCATCAACCAAAGAAAACCAAGAGATCCAGCCGTCTCTTCCAGGGGAGGAATACTTACTGCCTCGTCGGATATTAATGAGCAAGTTGCCTTTCAGGATGGTGCACCCTTGCAGCATCTGAGCAGAAGTCACAGAATCGATGGTCTTTGTCTTCTTCTCTTCTTCACAGACTTTGGGGCAAGGACCTTCGCAAGGGATGCAGTACATGCTGGGGGAGATAAAGAACCAGATCAGAGTGTCTCCTGGCCTTTAAACATCATTGGGCGAGACCTTTTCTGTCGCAGCGGCTTTGCAAGCATGCTTTATAAAAAGCAACCGCTGGAGGCGTTCAATTGGTCACGCTCTCATCCCCGAGCCCACCCAGGCCCTCAAATTGCAACCAAAAGATGAAGCGTTGCAGGCAAATACGTGACACATGCTGGAGGCACGCACGTGTCACGGGTTGCTGGCTGGTGAGCCAGCTGGCCCCATGTGGGAGAAACACTGAGAAAGGAAAGTTGGGGGGCTCTCGGGGACAACAGGGCTGCTCTCTGATGTCATGGTCCCAAGCAAAGCCTCAAGGTTCTGGAAGGAAAATGAGGGTCCTGGACCCCAGGGCAGGAGCGTGGAGGTGCTCACGGGCCAGGTGGGAAGTCCCCTGCGGCTGTTCCTCAGCTCTGGCCGCACCCAGGTCAGGCCAGTCTTCTTGGGGCTGCCGGCCACGACCTGCCTTGCGCCCGCCTGAAGCCACCACTGGGCCAGAAGGAAGAACCAGTCTCCCTGCCCACAGCCAGCAAGGGGGCAGGGAGACAGGCCTCTCCGCCAGCCACGGAGCCTCTGCGTTTCAGAAGGGCAGGCAGGACACCTTCAAATCCAACATGAAATGAACTCGGCGGTGGTGGGCGCCTACTGTGCCAGGAACCTCACAGTTTAACACAGGCCAGGCCTCGCCTTGCCGGGGTCCCCTTCTGAGCAAGTGCCAGGCTCACGCCCGCCCCGCCGGGCCACCCCACTGACCTCTGCGTGCCGTTGCGGATGAACCCCGAGGGGCACTCCTGCATGCACTCGCCGTCATGGATCACGAAGCCCTCCGAGTCGCTGCCCTCGGCGCTGGGGATGTTGGCACAGAAGTCGCGGTCCACGCAGCGCCAGCCCTCGAAGCGGTAGGTTCTGGGGGGGCACCTGGGCACGCAGACGCCGGCGTGGTAGTAGTGGCGGCAGGCCACGCAGGCCGTGTCGTTGTCGGGCGCGCTGCAGCTGCCCAGGCACTCGGGGTGGCAGCACTCGTTGGTCTCGGTGCACGCCCGCTTCCCGCACACGCTCGGGCACACTGTGGGCACAGAGGGGGCAGGCGGTGAGACCTCAGCCTCCCCCGGCCCCGCAGAGGCTTTCTTCTTGATCACTGGCCACCACCATTGGCCGGGCGCCCCCCTCCGGGCCCGACGAGGTCCCCAACAGAAAGCCCAGGAGCCCGGCCTCCCGGCTCAGACCTCAATGACAGGATGTGGGTTCAGGCAGCGCTTCCTCAAGACAGGGAGAAAACAGTCTGTTTGGAGTCAGTAGAGAAGGGTTTCAAGTTCAGTTTCTCCTAAGGACTCACTGTTGAGACTCAGATGAGTCACTGGCTTCTTTGACCTTGGTCCTCTCTTTTCTCATCACCAAACTGGGGTACAGCACCCACATAACAGGGGCCCCTGGGGTCATGGAGAAGCATTGCCAGCAATATAGCATGCTGGTACTTTGAAAAGATTCATGCTCTGCTTATCTGCACTTTGAACCTGTTTGCTTCTTCCTGACACAGCTTCAAAATCCTTCATGTACAGAAATACTTTGGTTTAAAAATGATTAAACTAGAATATATCAAAGATGACGGTATTCAGGCTTATGATGGCTTGAGGAAAGATTTGCCTGCTGGTACCAGCATGAAGTGTCTTACCCCAAATAAGGGCTCCTACTAAGTGTCACACACCTGACCCTGACATCACGGACGGGTCCCGGGTCTAAGCGTTATTCTCAAATGTAAGAGAGTAGGTGAGTGGGTGGTGTCTGTGTCCAGAGGACCAACAAGATGTCAGGAGTTGTCTCCTCCGAGTCTCCCCGTGCTGAAGTTAACTGAGAGCAGTGTCTAAAAGCCAGAGATTCACAATTCACATCCCAAATAGAGGAGCTGGCATTTACTTCCGTAACAATGCTGTAATGATCACACTCTATGGAGCTGTTAGCCTCCCGAGCAAATAAAGTATAAATCAACAAAATATGAAATCTGGCTTTCATTATACATTTCCTGGAGTGGGAAAATAATACGAAAATATTTAAATATGTATATTATTTACTCTGACATGCATTATTTAGTAATGCATACATTCCTTTTTTTCTCTGATAATAAAGATACATGCTCCAAAGAACTGCAGATTGTGGAATAGAGACTAAATCGACCATCTAGACTACATGCCCCGTTAACTTCATGTAGACCCTCCCAGACCCTTTCCTATACATGTGATTCCTACATATGTGTACATGTACATACACTTCATATAGACCCTCCCAGACCCTTTCCTATACATGTGATTCCTACATATATGTACATGTACATACACACAGGAAAGAAGCAATTCTAAAGCATTTGGTACAGTGCTGCACTTGGTAATATCCCGCAGAAGCAGCACATCTTTTAGCAGAGGGTATTGTCTGTGCCAGCCAGTTTGCCCTATTATTCCAACATTTCATTTATTCCCAACTTTCTATCCCTACAATCAGCACTATCGCCTTCCTGAGAAGCCTTCATTATTTCATTAAGATCAATTTCCAGAACTGATCTTGTTGGGTCAAACTGTTATCTGTTTGTGCCAATCTGCATGCCCACAGCTTCACCCCAGGGTTATCGTTTCCCCGTAAACAGGTGGATGTGAAATGGGTCTCAGAACCTGGACATTCGCATGAATACTGTCAGTGCTAAGAAAAACAGATACTCTCGAGCTTAAAATAACTTGACAACTTTCTCTGCCGAAATCACCCTTTGACAGCAGCAATAGGTGACCTTCTAAAGTTTTAAATTCTTAACTATTTTAATAATACAATCCTGGTTTTTAATTGGGCCTCTTGCCAACCTACAAGATCTACATTTCCCAGCCTCTTGCTGGTAGAAGTGGTGGAAGTTTTAGCTAATAAGGTATGCACAAACTTTTCAAGTGGAACTTTCTGGAAGAGTCTTTAAAACTGGGGTGGTCACGTCACCCCTCCTTCCTGCTGGCTGCAATGCAGGAGTGATGCAGGGGGCTCATGCAGCGACCCTGAGCTGTGAGGTGATGGACTCACCATAAGTGATGGATGGAGCAAGATCAAAGGATCATGGTCCTTCCTGATTGTAGCCAGTCCACTGGCCTGGACTGTTCATGCTACTTATGTGAGAAGAAATAAATGTTCACCTTGTTTAAATGCCTGCTATTTATTATACGCAGATGAACTGTCCCAACTGAGACATAACTTCAGAACAATACATAAGCAAAGAAGAAAAACATTCTCATCACTTTTTTGTTGACCACATTTGGCTCTCAGTGAGTTCTAGCTATTTCCAAAAACTAATCTATACAACTGGTAACAAGGAGTAACTGTCTCAGATTTACCAAGAAGTGTATGGCGTACGAGCTTCTGAAGTACTGCGATACGTGTCTTGTCTCCTGAGGTGGTCCTCTTGAAAAGGGCAACTGATTCCAAAGCATGACCCTGGTATGTTTGCAGTGAACACACATGGACTCACATTCTACTCTAAATCTCACACTTGAAGACTATAACCATCAAATAGATGGAATGACGATCCCGTTTCAAATGTATCTAGTATGGAGGTAGGCTCAAGATGCTAAAGAAATGATGAAATGACATATCCTTAGTCCAGAAGTTTGGTTACAAGAGAATACGGGTCCGTCTATCCTGCAGTGGCTCACTTGTTACAGGACCCCTTGTGAGATCTTGCTCAAAGTCTCCAAGCTACTAGGCCGCAACCAGCCAAACATACCCTCACCCTGCCAGGCTCCAGCTTTCTGGCAAGGGCTCTAGAAACAGCTGAAACCTGATGCCAGAGGCAGATGGCAGAAGAAAGACCTGGAAGTGACCTGGGTCTCCTTAGTCTGCTAATACTCAGGCCCCTGGGTGGAGACTCAAGGTGCCAATGAGACATACCACATATGAAGAAGCGTGCATGTCCTAGTCTAGCTCTGCCCAAAACATGCCCACTCTTCCCCACTGCTCCACCCCAATGATCAGCCCCATAAAACCAGGACCCCTGCCCCTTTCAGGCCAGCACATGGCTCAGGACATCTCCAGATGCCGCCTACTGTGTGATCCTCAACAAATGTCCCTCACCTGACACCTCAACACTTATGGTGAAAGACAGATCATTCAGAACCTCTAACACCCATTCAGCAACTATTTCTGGAGGGTGCTGCAGTGCTACATCAGACCCTGTCCCCCAGAAAAGGACAATGCACCAGGTAAGTGGAGATGCCTTGTGTGCTCAGGGCCTCAAGCTGGGAGAGATAAAGGACAAGGAAGTTAAGAAATAGCAACACACATAAAGTCATATTTAAAGGTACGGAAGTATAACGGAGTCACTGTGGTGAAGGGGGTGGCAACTGGGTCCCTCAAAAGAAGGCTGTTGGGAGAAAGAGGGGCCTGGAAGCACCCAAGGCCTGTCCCGAGGCTTCCTGTTTCTGGGCAGGAAGGGGTTGAGACTAATGGGCGGGTGAGGGACTCCACGCAGGTTTTAGGCAGGGGAGCGACATGGCCAGATTGGCTCCATTGCACTTCCATATCTTTAAATATGACTCTCTCCGTGTTGCTCTTTCTTCTTAGCTTCCTTGTCTTTTCTCTCTCAGCGCGGGGCCCTGGGCACACGATTCCGCTTACCTGGTGCATTGTCCTTTCCAGGGGGACAGAGTGTGGCGTAGTACTGCAGCGGTGAGTTGACGTATAAGGTCGGGCAAGAGGAGAGAGGTCAGCAGACTTGATGTCCCTACAACCTTTATTGTGTGTGTGTGTGTGTGTGTAACATGGTACAGATCTGTGAGGTTCACGTGATTAAAGACTGAGTACAGAAACCATGTTCGCACTCCGGTTCACCAGCACCAACCAGGGTCAAGCGAACCCCCCACTGAGGACACCGAAGCCCCAGAGCTCAGCTCTTCAGCCGCCAGTGGCCACCGCCACCAGGGCTTGTGAAGGGAAGAAGGGAAAATTGATTAAGAATCTTCAGCTCATCATCAGAGACTAACTGGGATCCAAATCTACTTGCAACCCTCTTTTACTCGCTTACAACTTAAATGAACCCTATAAAACGATGCGTAGCAGACATTACTCTCAAATAGCTACTACCATGTACGAAAAACTCAAAAGCATCGACAAAACAGAAAAATGTCCCTGCGTAATCTGGGGCATCAGTTTTACCCAAAGCCAAGTGCTGGGCATCTCCAGGAAAAGGAAGGGCAGAGCATCTGTGGACACAGCCCGAACTCCACTCCCCGCTTCCCCATGCCACTGGGCAGTCTCTCTGGGCACTCACTGTCCACCACCCCCTCTGTCACCAGAGGCAGGGGGCCACAGCTGGGGGGTTCCTTTATGTTATGTGACACATGCCCGGCAACATCAACATGCACGCCTGGGAATGAACAGTGAGTCGGTGGGGAGAGGGACCAAGGTCCAAAGCAGAGGTGACTTGTGCTGGAGGACAGACTGTTGGCAAGAGGCGGGACTGGGGCCACAAGCCAGTGTTCCCCTGGCTGCAGCACTGGCCATGGGGATGCTGGAAGGCAGGCAGGCGACCACACGGAAGCCGGGATTAGAGTCCCGGAGCCATGCCCAGGAGCCTGCTGTAAATTTTGTCTCATCTCAATGCATATAAATATTATTAGCGTTCAGGACTATTAAGGGATTTCGTGCAAAGCTCTGGGCAGTATGTCTCGTCAGCAGATGGATGGCCGCGCCATGTGAATGCCAAGACTTAACTGTGCAGTTACCAACTCTCCAATTACGGAGCCACTGAGAGAGGGAGGGAGTGCTCCCGGCTTCTGTGGGTAGGGTGGGCACCCAGCCTGGGAAAAGCAGTTCTATTTCTAAAAGAAGAAAATGGAAAACTGCTACAAACTAACGAGTAAACAGGGGGAAGAGCAAATTGATTTTGCCCTGGAGAGCCTTCAAGTTCTTGGAGTTCTTAAAAGGAGCAACAACGAAAACAAAAGTCTTTCTAAATGGCTGGGCGACATGTTATGGTTTTCCTTTGTCACCAGAAGAGGAGGTTGCTGCATCTAACATGGGGAGAGGATGGGGAGTCAGGCATTG